TCTACAAATTTTGCGAACGTCGCCATTAGCTATGGAAATAAAAAAATCAGTGCTGCGCATACACATTTGGTGAAATCCCCTTTTTGTGATTTTCGACGTAATGTACTAACTAAAGCGCATTCATTAAGGCTATTAAATTTCACTCTATAGACTAAAAATTAGAAATTCAAAGGAAACTAATGATTTAAATGGTTACTTTAACGGCAAATATACTATAATAATACATACATTTGTAGTTTTCTTGGATATGAAGCATTAAAATGATAGTATGAGTCTACTTCCTTAATACACGCTATCAGAAAATATAAGGATTTTGTGTACATATTTTATGAGTTCGGGGTGGGGAACTAAAGATAAGTCTCTTATTTCTAAACCGCATTAGAAAAAAAGTCACAACATGCGAAACCTAAAACTAGCATCTAACCGTGGTTGTTCACATGTGGCTCTACAATCTACTGAGGTTTAGAAAAGAAAAAAAAAGAAAAGAGACCGCTGCTTTGGGGCTATTCGGATATGCAGCAAAACAAGACATCAGTCTTTTTGGCTGTGCGATTAATTGTTTATTCAAACTTAGTTAATCATAAAGTGAATAACTCAATTATTTGATTAATTGTAAGTATTGTTTACTGAAAAGTTCAATTAATCGAGTAGTGAAGACATTGATGAACTAAAAACTACCGCCCTTATTGGCACCCCTATTGCGAGTGTTGACTAGTAGTCAGCGACTCTTATTCGATTATCGCTTTTCCATGGTATTTTACGAGCAAAATTAATTTTTCTTAATAATCATATTTTAAAACTCTTAATTAGTAATTGAATAAGCGAACGACTGATTAACCAACTTGCTCGAAAAATCGAATAGTCGCACAGCCCTAGTCTCTTATTTTTAAACCAGATAAAATTTTAGGAACACCTTCTGTATACACTCAATTCTGCTGTTTGAAAGCTGATTATAAGGTCCACAAACAAATACGGCATATTCAAGGTTGGGAACGAACAAATGCCAGAGACGACTACACCACAACTTCACCTCGGTCAATTGCAATGTTTGCTACGGGTGGAGTCACTTTAGAGTCTGCTCAGGCCTACGGACAGATCGAAAGTGGACCACATCATTTGTGGCCCGCTGCTACTCAAACAGAGCAGCCTTCATACTAACCCCAGTACACCCGAGCAGCTCAACACAAACACAACAGCACCACAACACAACAACACAATAGACCACATCACAACCACGACAGACCACACAACAGACACAACCGCTCCACTAAGCACAGCCGCCGCCAAGAACTCCTGGTTCCTTCTACAATCTGCACGGTGTGTCAAGTCAAGTGCAACACCTGCCTTGGTCATGTTCAGGTCTGCGTACCACGCGAGATTGGACGCAAGCAGCGCACAGAGCCAATGGCGGCACGGCCCAACAAATCCCTGACACAAACACGTCTCCCGAACCACACAAAGCTACAATTCAACTGTAACGGACTTAGCAGCAAGATCGAGGAGATAACGATCTTTATGGGAAGGCATGGTATATTGATAGCTGCGGTCCAAGAGACGAAGTTGCACAGCAATTCAACATTGTAGAATTACGCAGGACACATCGTGCAGTATCGTCTTATCGGAGCAGACATCTACCGCAGGGATACCACCCTAGAATGTCAGGGCGTTGCTATCCGGTCAGGCGATGTAGAGCTCGAAATATTTAACGTGTATATACCCCCTGTCACTAGCTGCCCGTCAGGATATCACCCTGATATAGGTGCGCTCCTTAGAAGTGAAAACCGTATGATAGTTGGTGACTTTAATGCGCACCACGATCTTTGGTATTTAAGCCTGTCAAACGATCGTAGAACATTCTTCACAATGAACTACGACGCACCCACCAGGATTATGGGCAGCTGCTGCAGTTCGCCAGAATAACAATAGTCAGCGCTGGTCTGATAAACAGCGTATCATGGCGACCTATGCTGATTTTGGCATGAGACCATCTGCCCATTATCATGTCGATCGATAAACCAACCGAATTTGTTTCCGTAGTACACCGGACCTGCTATCAACTTTTCTAAAGCTGATTAGAAAGGCTTCGTGGAATTTCCTGAGAGCACTTTCGCTGCACTCCACACACCAATCGACGTCCACCTTGGTGAACGTAAGTTCCGCAAGGTTGTCACTGCTGCTGCAGCTCGCTTCGTACCAGAAGGATGCATTACGGATTCCCGTCCAAACTTCCCTGCTGAAGCGGCTGTTCTAGCCGAAGAGCGTGACAACCTTCAACAGGCCGATCCCAGAAATCCCCGTTTCAGATTGAAAAAGTGGCAAGAGAATCTGAAGACTTATAACTTCTCCGCTGGTGTGAGTAAGCTTTGGTCAACCGTGAGGTCACTGCCCGATCCGACGAAGTACGACGACAGGGTCGAAATTTCTTTCGGCGACCATGCTTCGTCGGACCCGGAGCGATGCGTGAGCTATTTTAGCCGGCAATTCATATTGCAGCCTCCGGTGGACAAAGCCAAGCGTCGAGTGACTAGAAGGCTGCACAAACTACCAACAACCTGTGCCCCTCTGGCTTTCATTAGCGGCGAAGTTCGGGTGGCCATGGAATATGTATATTGATGCTGAAAAATTTGGGTCCTGCGGGAGTAGCATACCTAATGGAGGTCCTCAATATGTCAATCGCCACTCTCATCATCCCAGACGTCCGTAAGATGGAGAGAGTGGTCCCACTGCTCATATCGGGAAAACCAGCCAACAAAGGAGAGACTTATCGTCCGATAACACTCATTTCCCCGGTAGCGAAGACACTAGAGGCTTTGCTACTCCCGTATTTCACGGACCACCTGACCCCAGCTAAACATCAGCATGGTTTCCGTAAAGTGCACAGAATAACAACAGCACTTAACGCTATAAACACGCAGATAACACGTGGCCTAAACCACAACCGTCCCTGTGAGAGAACTATTCTAGTAGCGTTGGACCTGTCAATGGCGTTTGACACCGTCACCCACTATACGCCGCTAGAAGACATAGAGGCCTCCTCTCTCCCACAGAGGCTCAAGCAGTGGTCGGCGAATTATCTATGTGGTGGATACTCGTCAGTAATGTTTAGAGACGAATCGAGCAAACCTAGAAAAATAAAAAACATTACTGTTTAACTACTACATGCTGACGATTGTTCGATAATGGCGTCTGGGAATCGAATTGTTACCTTGTGTTCGAAAGTAAACGGGTTCTCTCCGAGCTTTCTCGCTTCTCCACTGCTAGGTGCCTAACCCTCTCCCCTACAAAGTCCTCTGCGATCTTGTTCACCACCTGGACGAAGGAGAAGACGTGGGAATTCACGTCGATGATACACCGATACCGACGGTGAATGACCCCAAAATACTCGGAGTAACCTTCGACAGTCTGCTATTCTTCTCTATGCACGCAACCGCTATTGTCAACAAAGTACAGAGCCGCAACAAGGTCCTCAAGTCGCTAGCCGGCAGTACTTGGGGCAAAGGCAAAGAAACGTTGCTGGCAACATACAAGGCAGTCGGCCGGCCAGTTTTAAATGATGGATGAAGCTGCAGACGACGCAAAACACTGCACTTCGGACAGCGAATGGATGTATTCTGATGTCGCCAGAACATCACCTGCATAATGAGGCGAAAATGCTGCCCATAAATGCACGCAGTTTCTAGTCGGGAGCCACAGACGTGGTGATCCGAATAGAAAATTGCTTGCAGAAGAGTCTAGTCCCAGGCACGTCAGGAGGCATCTATACGAACTGACGGACAAAGTCCAGAGGTCCATTAAAAAACCTCTGGATCCGTCAGCTTATCGCGAGACCCTGAGCGGCATTAGCAGGGAGTCAGTCTCGAGTTATGTAGACTCCAGACCTGTGAATGCCGTTATAGGCACACATCCAGCGGACGTCGACGAGACGGAGCTTCATCTGCCTCGGAAGACTAGAACCACAATAGCCCAACTTCGCTCTGGCTACTGCAGTAGGTTAAAGTTATACCTGAGCAGATTAGACGCAGATGTGACAAATGAGTGTCCGGCATGCGGAGAGACATCCCACGACTCGAAACATCTCTTCGTATACCCGGTAAACCCGACAACACTAACGCCTCTGTCCCTGTGAGCCGACCCCATTGAGGCTGCTCGCTTCTTAGGGCTTCCGTTAGTGGAGCTTGACGACAACGACTGAAATATTAACCGATATGGGCCGCTACAACAACATCGACATAACGGTGCAGATTTATCTTATCAGAAGAATCTCTAATTGTGGCGAATACTGTAAGGTCGTCTGTATAATGTAGAAAATTTGCAAATGAAGAACAGCTGCTTATGTCGTTGATAAAAAGGACAAATAATAGTGGTCCCTTTTGGAACCGCAGATGAAGCAACAAAAGAATCGGAAGACATTCCGTCTATGTCAACACAAGTAGGGTTTAATCCATTCAAGAAAACAGGAATGGAAGCCAAACCATGCTAGTTTGTTCACTGAAATCTTATGTTAGACATTATCAAAAGCTTAGAAGTCTGTGTGTGTGTGTAAACTGAAGACCAGCTGAGAAAGATGCAATACAGTATTCTATGAAGACAGCCAAACTCGAGACTGTGGAGCGTCCAGAAACAAAACCATGCTGATTTAGGCAAATAAATGAATTGATAGCAAAGTACAATTTCTTCTACAACGCACTCGAAGAGCTTAGAGATGGGCCTATAGTCACGAATATCGTTTTTCTTGCCGCTTTTTAGAATTGTAGTAATGGTAGTTATTTTTCGCCCATCAATAAATGTACCCGAGGTTAAAGACTTATTAAAAATAATTTTTAAGGATTGGACAGAGCAGGACAATATTTAATTAGAAGTGCAGACAGCCCGTCAGCGTCAGTATGAGTAGAAGGCTTAAGACCTACTATCCCCTTGACAATGTCTTTAGAAGAAAGAGTTAAGGAACAAAAATTCCAATACGAATCAACATCATTGAAGAAGTCGGGTGAGGTATCACATATTTTAAAAAGTTTATCAAACAGTTTCTGCAATTCACTTCCGAGTGATTTTCGACCCCAGCCAATTTGAACTCAAAGCGCATTTTATGAAATTCACTCGGGAGTGAATTGCAGAACCTACCTGTATATTTAATATTTTAAAACAACTGAATATAAAGTCCGCTACATTTTTTTCGTACAATTTAACTCTGCAATATATGTATTGTACATCAATACATTTTCCTAAATATATGTATGTACGTATAATGTCTACACGAAGTTTCTTAATGCAGTCACCACGCCCAAACCAAATAGCAGCTTATCTTCCACTACCTTCCAACTATTCTCTTGTGCTTTAGAAACCCGTTCCAAGGCTTGAATAACTTCAACGGAGTCCAATAAATCGATGCCATAAACACGTAGAAAAACACTCAGATACGCTTGTGCCAACTCAAAGTTAATGCGTGTTCCAAACATTTGTTCAATAGTACTTAAAAATGCGACCATAATACGATAGGAACCACCGCTAGTTGGATGCAATGATTTGATTTCGAAATCAATCATGGATGGCCCAAGTTGTTTAAGATGATCAATACAATTGCTATAATTTTTACTATCCCCTGCACCGTGAAGCATTTTGCCGAAGTATGTTAGTGTGCTGAGCCCGCCAGCACCTGGTTGCAGCAAGCGAGAACCATCAGTCTCTTCCATAGCTTCAGCTGCTTGGCTAGTATCGAATTTCACCTCTAAGCCTGCTACTGTAGGCAGGAAAAATGGCGCTTGTTTTGGTGTTTTCGGTGGAGCTTTTGGCTTATTACGTTTCTTTATAATTTCCAAGTCCAGAAGATTTTGCCAACGTGACGCGGCAACTCCGGAAAGAGTGATTAAATCACCATCAAGTTGTGAAGGTGAATCATAAGTTGCATTAATATCGGGGCCTACTTCGCTGTCACTCATATCGTCGTCAGCTTCGTTTAGTTTAGCATTTTCCATAAGATCTGCTACATCCATCTCATCACTGGCGCTGATTGGCAAACCAACGTATGGAGCTACACTATAAGGATTTTTGGAACGCAATGTGATCTGGTTGAAGAGCATCTTATTAGCCCATAAATATATTCCCAAATGATTTACGTGTGCAGTTGCCAGAAAATCACCGTTCGGGGACATGCTAAGCGATATACACGGCCTATCTACTTTGAAGTGATCTATCATGTATGAGGATGGTATATCCCACACTTTAATGGTGGAATCCATGCTTGCGGTAATAAGCCAGCGACTATCTGGACTGAATACCATATCGTTCAGTTTGGCGATATGTCCTTCGAATTTACGCACCACCACGCGTGTATCCACATCTATGATGTGTACAGTGAAGTTCACTAATGCAACAGCGAGCATTGCGCTTTCACGGTGTATACGCATCAGAGAAATTCCGTCTGTAAATTTAAGGCACTTGATATGGTTGGTTACTGCAAGTATAAATAAGCGACAAAAAGTTTATAACTTACTAAAAATGTCAAATTACATTAAATATACCTTTTTCTTTGAATGGCCAGAATTTTAGTAGACCTTCACCACATCCAGAGATAACAAACTGATTTAATATATCAGACACTACACCACGAACCGCTGTTTTATGTGCTGGCGAGCCATAACTAGCACGATGGAGCCCACTCTGAATGTTAAAACGTTCCACATCTCCGCTAGAGTATCCTATGGTAATGAATGTAAAAGTTGTAAAATGTTAATGCATAGTAGTTTTGTCTTGTCTTACCAATGATCGCAAAGTTGCAACAGTGTGTTAAGGTTACGGACGTTGTAATAGTTTCGTAGTCAACTCTTTCCTTGTTTTGGAATTTTCGGGGTATCAAGCGATGTTCTCCCATACGATTTTTGTGGAATGACCAGGTGGTAGTTTGTATAATACCCTCGTGAATAGCTGCAATGTTATCCCATTCACGCTCTCTTGTCGTCTCGCTTGTAAACTCAATAATTGGAGGCATACGTAAAGCGTCTCCATCGAATCGGTCTACAAAGGCCAAAAACTCGTTAATTAAAAATAGTTTGTAAAACACTAGTCTTTTTAACATACTTCGCTTTTTAGATTGCTTTCTATTATAACTCGCCTTGCCCATACTCTTATTTAATGACTCAGATATGGTGCTGAATACACGTAGAGCACTGTCTTCTCCGGCAGAGAGTATCGAAGTGCCATTACTACCATGAAAACGGATACACAATGGCGGCCCAGTATGACCTTCCCTAATTCGTAGCAATCTTGCTCCATTGTCGGGCATGTCGAATATCCACAATTTCATTGAATTATCCGGTGAAGTGGTAAAAAGTAAAGGTTCGTTATGGAAGCATATTGCGGTGCTAACTAAATCTTCATGTGCCTGCAATTGACCTGCAATCTATGAGAAAACATGGTTTAATATGTAAATATAATTTTGATTTAATATAGAAGTGTTTAAAAAATATGTCACCTTACGATCCTCAAGATTCCAAAGGGCCATATGACCGTTGGAGCATGCGGTTATCATTATCGGCGGCCCGTCAGTTCTGAAGGAAATTTGCGACACCTGTCCCCAATCTTGCTTAAATTTCATAAGCACTTCGTCAAATTTAAGATTAAGCAACACAATGGTACCATCCTGGTGACCTACGGCCACTACATCTAGCGCCGGTGACGGCTGAATACAAGTCACTTTGCTACCAAAGCCAGCAAAAGTGTACACCAAACGATTCTCTTTAATATTCCATATTTTAAGCATACCTTGCTTTGAGCCCAATACAATTTTGTTTAGGTAAGCAGGAGGATGAGTTATTGCAGAGATTAAAAATTCTTCGGGATTAAACTGCAGTTCTAAATAGACCTCCTCTTTGGCTATGTCCCAAACACGCAACACATTTGCCTCATCCACAGATATCAAGTGAGCGCCGAAGGGTAGTAGTAAATGTACGTTACGTGTATGACCCCGATACACGTGTCGCTGATGTTTACCAGCGCGCCATGCGTAAATGCAACGATTGCTGGCAGTGAATGTATGCGCGCGGTCCATAGCTAGTGCTGTTATTTCATCGGGATGAACAGGTCCCACATGCAACAAGCGAAAGTGGCTGGAGGTGTACACTTGAAAGGAACGTCCAATGCAGGTGGTAATCAAAGTATCTTTACGTCGGCGGACATATCTGATGGCGGCTGGAACGCTGTTGCTAACATAACCAAGTGCTCGATTTCGGCGAAAGATAACGCTGCTATTTGCTAAAGTGTCACTTATTGTGTCTTTTGGCACCGTCTCGCTTGCGTTGGTCATTTTTTGGCCCACTGCAACTAAATTCACAAATGAAATGTTTACTATATTTCGATTGCTCTTGTACCAGCATGTGCTCCGATATATTTGTTTCAACATGTGCTCCGATAAAAGGTCGATTAAAAAGAAGAAATAGTTGTCGATAGTTTTGCAGTTGATAAAAGAACTTTGAAAGCGAATTAACTAATTGTAGCGCTAGAATTGTCCTTCGTGAATGAAACACAAACCTAATTACAAAGCTTTTATCAACTTGCAATATTTTGTAATTTTTCCCGATTTTCATTAAATACAAATTTTGGTTCCACTGAATAACGAATAAAAATCGAATGTAGTGGTGGGCATGAACCAAAAAGACAAGATCACGCGGGCAGGAGAGTATACCGTTAGAATCGCATTAAGGAAAAAAGTTTAACGATTTTGACATTAGCCGTTTATTTACATTTCTTCGTTGTTTAGAATTTAGTGGTGGCTTTTTACTGCAATTTTCTTCATTTTCGCTTGTGACAACGTGTGCACACATAAGGTAAAGAATAATTTAACACAACGACATGATTTATAGGAGAATTTGCATAATAAAAATGATTATTCATGCGTTCAACAATTACGCGTTTTTTTTTCACAGAAAGGAGAATTCTACTTAGTAAGGGTTATAATCCCTAAGCGCGGCCGAAGGCCGCCTACTCAGAAAGAAGTTCGTTTTCATGTATGCACTATTTCGGTTTTTGTCATATGCATTACTTCGGTTTTCAGTCGAAACTGTGCATGTATGCATTACTTCGGTTTTTGTCATATGCGTTATTTCGGTTTTCAAACGAATGTGTGCATGTATGCAGTATTTCGGGTTTTTCATATGCATTATTTCGGTTTTAAACCGAAACTGTGCATATATGCATTATTTCGGTTTTTTTCATATGCACTATTTCGGTTTTCAAACGAAAGAGTGCATATGCATAATTTCGGTTATTCTAATATGCATTATTGCGGTTTTCAACCGAAACTGTGCATATATGCATTATTTATTTATTTTATTCATTTTGCTGATTTAATTTTTTTATTCATTTTCATTTTTAATTATTTAGTTTTTTTCGGGATATAATCTGTGGTTCATGTAAATGCAGTTCATGTTGCAGGATTTTACCCGATGCTTTTTTAAATGATTTCAGTATTTTTTTAAATTTTCGTCTTGCTTTTTTATCCAAATAGACAACTAAACCATCTACGAATATCAAAATGCATGTGCTGAGTTTAAATAATCGGAAGTAATAATCAATTGG